CATAGTGAACTCCTTCTGCTCTGTTTTCTGTTTGCTGTCAACATGCATTTTGGTAGGATGTTGAGTGAAAGAGAACCATAGGTTGTCAAAACCACTTGGCTTATTTTGCAGTGTTGTGTTGAGCAACTGACTTGAAGCCAACTGCAGATTCCCCTTGGAGATTTTTAACTATCCTAGAAACTTCGTTCTAGGGTAAGCAGACAGTGTAGCCGGCTATTTTAACAGTAGCCCTCCTCCAAAAATTACTCAGGAAGTAGAGTGCAATAGGAATAGGCATTTGGTAGTGTATGTAATAAAGTGCTCTAAGCTCCATTTTGCAAGTCAGCTGTGACCATATAATCATTAAGGTTGGAAAAGACCTCTAAGGTCACAGAGTCCAACCTTTGACCAACCATCACCATAACTAGACGATGGCAGTAAGTCCACATCCAGTTATCCCTTGAACACCTCCAGGGATGGTGACTCCACCACCTCCTTGGGCAGCCCGACCACCCTTTCAGTGAAGAAATTCTTCCCAATGTCCAACTTGAATGTCCCCTGGTGCAGCTTATGTCCTCTCATCCTGTCACTGGTTGCCTCGGGGAAAAGACCAATCTCCACCTGGCTACAACCTCCTTTCAGGTGGTTGTAGAGAGTCATGAGGTCTCCCCTGAGCCTCCTTTTTTCCAGGCTAAACAACCCCACCTCCCTCAGCTGCTCTGCATAGGACTTGAGCTCTAGAGTGCTCACCAGCTCTGTTGCACTTCTCTGAAGTTTCTCCAGCACCTCTGTGTCCTTCTTGAAGTGAGGCACCCAGAACTGAATACAGTTCAGCCACGCTAGGTGATGAGTACAGAGGGACAATCACTTCCCTGGTCCCACTGGCTATGCTGTTTTTGATGACAAGTATGGTATCTCTGTCTTGACTCAGCAGAACTGAAAAGATGGCTGGTGGGAGATTTAACACTCTCAAGGAGAAGTGCTGGAATTCCTGAATTCCTGGAGGAGTAGTTTCTTGTAACAACCTTGTATGGAAAGCTGTTGAATTTGCCTGCCGTACTGCTTTGTGTTTTGAACACTTGTTGTCAACTTCCAGTATGTTTTGTGATAACACAAACCCACCAAAACATCTTTAATGCTATCATGTTCCACACTTAATCCACAGCTAAAGATCTAAGTGTGAATTCAGCTATCATCCACTGTGTAATTTCCAAAGGTATATATTGAGAAGCCCTCATTCCTCAATTCAGCTCTGGTTTAAACAAGTGTTACTGTGTTTCCTTGTGTTTCCTAGGAGCCAACATCTTTCTTACCTCATCTGGACTGATTAAACTAGGAGACTTTGGCTGCTCAGTGAAGCTGAAGAACAATACCCAGACAATGCCTGGAGAAGTGAACAGTACCTTGGGGACTGCAGGTAAGGAAGCTTGTGCTATGCAGGTACTTGTCTACTTACCAATAAAAGAAGATATCTTTGCCAAAAGTCTGGGCTGGAGTAAAACCATGTGCTTCAGGGAAACTTGATTTTTACCTCAGCTAGTTCTGCTTTATATCCAGAAGCCAGACAATCAGTGAATGGTATAACAGGACAGATAACACTGTATTTATCTGGTAATCATAAAGATGCTGGAGCTTGTGTTTTCTGGGGTTGTATCTTTCTCTGCAGTCTTACTGAAACAGTACTCTTCTTACTGAAGAGATACTTAATCTATTTTCAAAAAAGGGCAATAACTGAAAGCATGTAGTGTAGCAGCATTTTCACTATCACTTTTCATTTATGCTGCAAATGTGTCAAAGAACAAGAAGCTAGCAAATGGCAAAACTTGGCAAGAAAAACTGAGTAGTAGTTCATTACAGATGTATTAAAAAGCATTTGGTTTACTGAGTTAGTCACTTGATATATGCTGTTCCTTCTGCTGTATGAACTGATGGCATCATATATGTTGTTTCAAAGCATACATGGCTCCAGAAGTGATTACTAGAGCTAAAGGAGAGGGACATGGACGTGCAGCAGACATCTGGAGCCTGGGCTGTGTTGTTATAGAGATGGTCACTGGCAAGGTAGGGATGTTTCATGTGCTGACAAAATGCAAACTGTTCTTAGCGGTTTCTCTGCAAATTCTGGTCCCACTCAGCAATTTGTCACATGTAAGTCCAAGTAATGGGGTGGTTTTTAATTTCCTGGAGTACAGAAATACATGCTCTAGTAGATAGCAAGTTACTCACTGAAGCTTGCACTTAGCAATGCTGTTACCTGTTGCAGAGGCCTTGGCATGAATATGAGCACAACTTCCAGATCATGTATAAAGTGGGGATGGGTCATAAACCTCCTATTCCTGACAAAGTGAGCCCAGAAGGGAAAGACTTCCTTTGCCACTGCTTGGAAAGTGACCCAAAGATGAGGTGGACGGCCAGCCAGCTCCTCGATCATCCTTTTGTCAAGGTTTGTCTGATGACTTCAGCTACGAAAACTGCAGATGGGAATCGGAAGCAGCTTTAAGTTGGCTTCATTGTTTGCAGCGATGCCACAGGGCTTGGTATCAAGTTGGTGCTGTCCAGAAAACATGGTGTGGAAACTTTCCAGAAGCATATGTGATGTTTTTAGCAAACATTTGACTATAGGACCTGGTGTGCACCATGCAGTGAACTTTCACAGCTGTTTTGATACGCATTACCTTTATGTTGAAAAGACTAGTCAGGCTTCAACTCAGTGGTAGCTCATTGGATCTGAAGGGCTCTGTGCTGAAAACTTTAGCAAGTACATATGTACAGGTTTCTAGAGATAAAGGCCTCCTCCATAAAAAGTGAAACCAGCACATAGAGAACTCCACCATCCTTTTGTGTAAGGGTCTGCTTTAAGTTTTTATTTGAAGTTAAGTTCATATTGAATGTTCATCTGGCAGTTGGTGTAACAGTTTGAAGTTCTTGCATGAACTATGGTGTATTTCCTTAAGAACAGGCAAATATTCACAGCTACAAATTGAGGTATATTAGTAACTTCTTTGAAGAAGTACAAATGTTATTGAATTCTGTCCCATTTTCCAGCACAAAGTTGTTCACTTTGGTGCTCTGGTTCAGTAATAGTGTGTTTGAGATCATCATACCCATTCCTCATCAGGGCAACTGTAGCCAGATCCCCTCCATCACAGAGGCAAAACAGGGCTTTAGGCACCTAAGGGTTGCATGGTGACAGTGGGAATGGCAGTACACTCGCATATAAATGCTTGTTATGCATTATCTGTGTAACAAGGGAGAAGGAGGAAGCTTCAAAGATGTTTGATGAAGGTGCTTAAGAAATTGATTTGTTGTCATCTTCTCGCTGCAGTACGGAGACCACTGAAGTAACTGCCTTTTTGTTCCTTCACAGGTTTGCACAGACGAAGAATGAAGTTACTCAATCTCTGGCCTTTTTTGTTCTGACAAGATTTTAATCACTACTGTATGTAATATTTACATAAAGACTGTGCTGAGAAACAGTATAAAAGTTGAACTTAACGAAGACTGCACAAGTGACGGGCGTCACTTTCTCTGCTGCTCCTGTACATTTTACATGGCACATGTTGCTCACGTGACGGTGTCCGCAAGTTGGAAGAAGCTGCATGTTTCAGTGAAAGTGCCATTACTACTGTATATGGACCATACCTTTTGTTCTTTCTCCTGTTTCTCATTTGATTGAGAACTGTAATGTTAATATGTAGTATTTTTGAACTCTTTAGGTTCAGAAAAATGCTGTAGTGTTATCAGGCGTTATGGACCTTGTTTTTTAATCTGTTTGAGTGCACTGACTGTGAACTTTTACTGGTTTTTTTGTTTATTTGTTTTTGGCAAGCTTCAGATTTGTTATGCACAAGGCTAATTAATGAAATTTTAAAAAAAGTTTTTTCTCAATAAATGGTTTATTTTAGGAGATGTTGGTAAAGGGTTTTTCTTTGAAAAAAGGGGTCGTGTCACATTCTAAACTTCTTTGCAACACTTGTGCAAGACTGCTAATCTAATCTAACTGGAATAAGCTGCTCTTATATTGCAATAGTCAATGTTTTGTCAGGTTTCAAGATGTGCAGTGCAAGATGCTTCTTATACAAGTGATAACAGATTCAAGGTTTATCTTCTTCTGAGGAAAGGTGGTGATGGGCAGTTCCTGGCACTACTTCTTATCTCAAGGATAACTTCCTTCTTGAATGTGTGCCATGGGAACAGGGAGTGTTCTTCATGGCATTTCTGTGGTCTAGAGAACTGTTTAAAATTATTCTTGTGTTCTGTTTGGCAAAACCAAGAACTCACTATTAGCTTTATAAAACCGATTTCTGATCCTGGGCTTTGATTTCTCTACCTCACCGCAGCTGTCATCAGTCTCAGATAAAGGAGAGGTTAGAAGTGGTGAGCAATTGGAAAAAACAGCCTGCAACACATAATCTAGTTGATTGTTTGACTTGCTTATCACAAACAGGTAACTTAAAACTGTTACTTGTAAACATTAGTGCAAGTTTACATATTCCTGTTACAGCTTTAGACTTAAAATAGGAACTTGCTTTTAGTATTTGGTTTAATTCTAGTGTCTTGTCTCTTCTCCTAATCCACAAGTCCTTGGTTAGTCCCAGGTGGGGGGTGAGCTGTTGAGGACTTATCACAAAATCTGACATTTCTAGAAAAGTATGAGCCTTGCTGTGCACATCATGTGTGCAGCGTATTTAGGCTGTCAAAAAATAAAATGCTGAATTTAAACAAAGACTGCCCCTTCTTTTCAGCTCTATTTTCAGTTATATGATAGGAGGGGAAGTATGTTGTCATCGTCAGCAAAGGACTGTGAATGTAGTTGAGGTAGAAGTGCCCCCAGGCTTGCTGTGTTCTTCAGTTTGCAGTGTAACAAAAGTATGTGAGTGATCTGTGTCCTCACTTGCCTTGTTCCACATGCCCTTGTACACAAACAGGAACTGTGGACAGCTTTTAGGAGTCGGGATAGGGGTGACAAACTGTTACTGGTTTGTTGTTGCCAAGCAAAAGAAAACTCATTCATTGCACAATGGCTTTTCATACTTTTATTTTTGTATAAACAAACATTAAGACTACTTTTGTTAAGGCAGTTGTAGAACATACAGTTGCTTGTGGGGATGAGGGGCAAACACTGCTTCCTAATGACCTATGTCATTCTTTTAATACAGTGAACTGGAATAGTTTAACTTTGGCAAGTACCATTAAGCTTTCCCTGTTTGTCAGTGAGTGCTGGAAGGGCCCAGTGGTGCAGTTCTTGTGCGCTGGGACTTGTAGAAGTACTTAGGACTGATCAGGAGTGGCATGTTTGGCCCTCAGCCTGTTCTAAGGGTTGGTCCTAGGGAAAGGGGTATGAAATAATCTGAGTACTCTTTCAGAAGTATTTACATGTTTGGCATTTTCCTCTGGGAGAAGTGGCACTGGATGCAATTGGAGAGGAAAGGGCTGAGATTCCTAAGGAATATTAAATGTCTTCCCCACTACATGTTAAATTTGTGACCCTTTAAAAAAGGCAAAACAGCTGGTCTCTGTCACTACATGAATATGTATTTGCTGCTCAGAACTACTCACCTACCACCCTGAGAAAGGCCCACTGTATCTACCAGGTAATATGTACAGTAAAATTCTCTCTCCCCCTTCCACCCATTTGCAAACTCTTGTGTACAGTGTCTTCAGGTCTGGCTCACTAATGTGCCTGCTCATTACTACAAGATAGCTTCAGACTACAGCTTATAATACTCAGTTTTTCACTGTTAAGATTGTTAGAGCAAACAGAGTGCAGGGCATGTGCTTTATTAAATGAACAGCAGTTGTAAGCATGGCAGTATTTTCTGCTCTTGGGCTCTTTTTCATGTCTTGGAAAAACTACAGTAGAGCCCATGTTTGTGTTCATCGCATCACACAACCTATTCCAGAAAGCTTCAGAGCACAGGGAATGCATGTATACACAAGACATGTGAGGAAAAAAGCCCCCAAAACTAGTCTCTCACACTCCCCATAATCTATTCCTTCCTTCACCTTGTAAATTTTCCTGCCTCCTCTACCAGTAAACTTCACTTACTGCCCCATGCTAAAAGCACTACTCCACCTGCTCTTTAGGTGCTGCATATTAAAAAGGTGAGTTTCTCTATTATCTGATACACTGAACAGCTCATACATAGTTCATGGAATGATTCATATTCTGGTGTATTAGCCCCTGTTTCTTCTGGCCTCAGTTTTATTATAGGAAAAGAGATATGTTTTCATACCAGCTGCTAGAACTAAGACTTTTTTCACTAGAGACTATCCCTGTTTAATTCTACGTGCAGTGGAAATGGACTGTGTTTGAAAGTGCCAGTCATAATCTCCACTGCTAAGTATCAGGATCTGTAGATTTTAAAAGATAGTGGTTTTTTCCAATCATAACTGCTGGTATTTAGAAGTCCCCTCTTTTACTTTTCCTTGGGGTTTTTTTTGTGGTTTGTGGTTTTTTTTCTTGTTTTCTGTGATTCTGTGAAGTTCTTCTTAGTAATCTGCAGATCCTTAACTCTGAAAGTTTAAAAACAGGAGGCCTCTGCCCTGAAATCAGTACCAGGAAGGTCAGAGCAACACCATTTTCCTGAGGAGCTTGATTCTAGTTTTATTTAATTCAGAAGGCGGTCAAATCAAGTCCAGATAGATATAAAAAAACCTGAACCATATTGCTGCCCTAGGTCTTTGTCCTAGTTCCCCTCTTTTCCCCAAAAAGAAAAGATAATTTAACTTTTACCACAGGCTGTTATGAGGCACCAAGTAAACTAATTTATAAGAAAAGACAGACACACAGATTAATTAGGATCACTACATTATGGGTGTGGTGCATACATTTTAATGCACACTTTGCATTATTTCACTACACCATGCCCAGTTATTTTCTTCCCACTATTGCTAGGAAGGCCTAGAATTTTAAGTAGTGTTTAAAGCCAAAAGGAATTTTATTATGTCAGGTTTTCCACATCATAAATGGAATTTACTCTCAGAAGAATTACAGGTTTCAGCTATCCCTCAGATGTATGGCCTCAGGAAAGAGATAGCAGTGGCTAACTTAGCTCTGCTCAGGCCACAAGGCCAAATTTTGCTCCAGGTTATGCTACTGCAAGGCTCTGATGTCTGGATGTCCAGGGTCTGGCTGAAGTTTTAAAGGGCCCCATAGTCACACTTGTGGCAGTAAGTTCTAGATGTACAAAACCTCTACTGCAGTTCTACCAGTTCAGCTGAGCTGCTTCAGTCCAATACTGGTATAACCAAGCACAGCATCTTACTGTACTATATTTAAACACTGACAGATTATGGTTGTTAAACTGTGTGATCTACACAACTATCAATTTTAATCATCTTGTAACAATCTCCTGACATTAAAGCCTGCACCTCGGGTTAGTTTCCAGGTAAAGTCTCTTCATATAAGCACGCCGGAATTTATTTCTTTTTTTTTCAAAACTTAAGACACTTCATAGGAAAACAAACCAACCACACAAATGCAAACCTGTTGCAGAGAGGATATGAAGGAGTGCATCTTTCAAGCATGTCATCAGCCCAAACTCCCAGAGAAAAACAACAGGAGCACAAATTTGGATATGCATGGCAATTGCTTATCCTACCTCTCCTCTGATCTCACTTTGAAGGACTGTGATATGCACTTAAGAGTTTTCAGCAGTTGCATTTGTTCCCTTTGGATTGAAGCAGTCTCTGAAGATACTACTTTCATTTCTGCTTGTTTTCATTGTTGCCATAGGTGGAACCCTTGTTAATTTCTGTAACCCCGATCATCCATCTGACACCAACAGAAGCTGCAAAATAAATACAGTTAAAAGCTACACTGCAGGCAAGGACTGCAAGATCTGCACAGGTAAAAGAGACTAACAGTGTTCTCAGCCTTACAGCAGCACAGCATTAAAGGTAACTGCCCACACTACCCTGGGTGACCTTCGATGGGAGGTGCATTTGATGCTCCCATACCTCCACATCAAGATATTTGCCGACGGCATCTCATGAAGGAAGGGCCAGACATGTCCTCTCCCACCAGCAGGGAAGAGGCTACAAGGAACCAACACGGAGGCGAGGCACAGGCATGATATGCTCACCCCTGTTAAACCTGGACAAGGCCAACTGTGTAATGGGATGCTTTGGGGCTGCCAGTGTTTCCTGGCTTTAGTGAGTCGACTGATGAAGTGAACTAATGCACATGTCTGCATGCAAGTTGTGGCAGGGGAAGGGAATTCTGCTGGCTTTCAACAGCCCCCGTGCCTGGAAGAGCACAAGCAAGCACAAGGGCACTTCAGATCTTGATAAAAAAATGTAAATTGTAATGGATATGTCACAAGAGGCCAGGTTAAATTAAAAGACTTATAGCTGATTTAGTGGTAGTAATTCACCATATGCAAAGATTATTTTATTTATTTGTAGCACCTAAAGTGACTAAGTTAAATGCAACTTAGCCTTAACTCCTTGCCTGACAGTTTGTTTTTTTTTGTCAAGGGGCTCAGCTGCCCAAAATATTATTCCCTAAGCTTCTGCTCAGCTGCTGTACATATCGAGAACTGCCATGCTTCTTTTAGGCCTAAACCTACTTTGAAGTCACAAACACCTTCCCTCTGCTCAGAATGCTTTTTCAAAAAAACACAAAAAACAAAACCACCCAAACCAAACAAAAAAACCCAAGAAAGCCACAATCCTGCCCTAAAGCCTCCATATCTCACTTTCTTTCTGCCTGATGGTGAAAAGGCCCAGTACTGTGAGATGCTCTGTCTCATCCCCATCAGTCTTTACTTCTCTAAGATGACCCTGGACAAATTCTTACCAGCCAAGGGACTCATTATGGTTAAGTCAGAGCCAGAGATCACTAAGAGAATCCCGAGGCTTCATACCATTACCAGGCACCACTTGTGAACAGGGCTGATACAACACCTTGTGTCCTGGCATTTGCTGCTCTTCAGCATTTGAATGGGAGAGGGCTGGCAGCTGGCAGCCATTGCTGCCCTGTGCTTTACCAGTTGCAACTTTGCATTACAATATCAGCCCCAAAAACTTCACTAAAGACTTGTGTTTTGTAGTACGACAGTAAATTGACAGTTTTTAGAGTGCAAGTGGTAACTGGACACCAGAGATGAGACACACATGATGTGATACCACAATGGGTGGACAGTGGGAAGCTGGTCTGTCCACAGGGCTGCGCTCAGGTCTTCTGGATGCCAGGAAAGCAAGGCCCTCTCACAGGCAGAAAGCTATGCAGTGAACAGCCCAGAAAGGGAGCTGGTTCCAAGGGAGTTCACTGTCACTCACACTCCACTGTCAATCTACGAACAGAAACACACAACTGAAACAAGCAAAGGGTTTCACTCTCACAAGACAAAAGGAAAACCATCTCTGACATTTAACAGGCCACGAGATGGGGAAGAGAAGAGAAAGATCCAGCATGTAGCCTGCAGTCTGGGATCATAACATAATAGTAAGTATGAAATCATTAAGATTTTAACCACAAGGGATAGAAACAGCATCTGGAGATGGACACAGAGCATAAATAAGAGCAGCTGTTATAGCAACCACACAGCACACTGGAGATTTCATCCAGTTCCAAGAATGCTACTGCCTGGATACAAAAAAATACCTAGTTCAGCAGTTTGGATGTCTTTTTTTGACCCACTCCTTTGTCCCTGTTAGAAGCTGCCACTGCCTTCTGTCCTCATTTCACCCTGTAGCCCTCAGGACCCTGGGGAAGGTGGGGTGCAACAGGAAGGGACTGCTCATGTTTGCCAAGCCTGTGGAAGCAAAGTGGGGGTCAGTGCTGGGGTGCCTCCCTGGTTTCTCCCTGCACTGCCTGCCTTCTCTCACAACTCTCCTGGGGCCTCAGTGCATACCCTAGTGATACCATCACATTTAAGGATTTATTCAGTTGTTTTAAATACAACTATAGTAAGGGTAACTTTGGGTGTTTTACTTCAAGAAAGAGGTAAAACGGAGATCAAGCAGGAATTGTGCCTAAATTATTAGCAGTGAGAATTTAAATCCACCCTGAGAAAAGCATGAGGGAAGCTATCAGCTCAGGCATCCCTGCACTGCTCCACAGCAAATGGCAGAAGGTAACAGAGCTCCTGCCATCTTTTTGCTCATCATTACTCAGCATCCAAAAGATGCAGGAGGTTGCTGAGGACCTTCTCAGCCTGCTGGAGCACTGGAAGCTGAGGGAGGGCTGAGCTAACGCAAATCAACAGAGCCAATACTGTAATCTCTTTCTTGGAATATATTTTAGCTCCAAGAAAACCACCACCTCCACACATAGTATTACATCCTTCAGCAAAACCCTAGGTCAGACCAAAGGATTTCCACCTTTCTCTCACACCTCAGAATTTCATCTCGTCTGTTACCTTGCCTTTGTACCACACAGCAAGTGCTATAAGCAGCACAGCAGGTAGGGGCATAAAAATTTCCCATATACTGTTTGCTGTACACTTGAGTTATATAGATAATACATTGAAATTAAGATATGTACAACTAAAGATTACATGAATGGTAGAAATTCCCACTTAATTCCCACTGAGGGCCTATCTTACATTCTATGAAGAGAAGAAACAAGCAACAATAAACCCCCAAATTTTAGGCACCAGGCTGAAAGGCCAGACTGTCTCCACCAACAAGCAGAATCAACACAGGCAGAATCCTGCACATGATTTATATCCTTTTGGAAAATTTACTATAACACTGCTGGCTTGTGCTGTCCTCACCTTCTATCCATCTCAGCCTAGGGACACCAAGAGCCTCACTGCCCAGGTCACATCATGCTCCAACCCTTTGGTTCACACTCTGCACTTGGACACTGTCGAGTCCTCAAGGACTCACTCACATTTTGTACTATACAGCACACATACAACAGCTCCCACAGGATCCAAGCTGGCTAATTACTCCTTACACTCAGTTCAGATGAAACACTTCTCTTGCCTATAACCGATACGTAATTGCTGGCCCTGTGCCATCTGCCCAGATGCCATTGTGCTTTTAGCATTAAACATGTAAGAGCTGCTTCTCCCTTTAAAAGCCCAGAAAAGCCCACTCATCTTTTCCCCTTTTAACTGCTGTCGACAGCTCTATAATAAATTACTTCTAAAGCATGAAGGGTGTCCTCCTCAAGTTACCAAAACATGAAAGGCAACCCCTACTGGATTCTTTGAAGCCAAATGAGACTAGGGGAGCAGGGAGGAGGGGGAAAAAAAGAAGCTGCTGTCAAATACAAATGGTGACATTTGACAGACACGCTCACTGCTTTAACACCAAAATATCAGCACCAAGTTTTAAATGGCAGTTGTGAGCTAAGTACATGAATCTCTTGCTATGTGTCCTGTGAAACTAAACCTGGTTTTCAAAAGAGACTTTTGTCCTTCAAACTCCTTGAGCATTTATCTTCTGAAGCAGGGACTGCCTTGTGTTGGTTCAAGTAGTATCATAAAGGGCTCCTGGTCCCAGACCAGTAGTTAGATACGAGGACAATGAGATGATTACTGGGAGAATAAATAGCCAAACTGCTGCACAGCAAAGCAAGAGGGGATGGTATTTGCAGTATAAAGAGGAGATGTCATTTATTTAGGGCTGAAAGAGTTTGAGCTGAACCAGCAGAGCTGTATATACAGTGGTTATTCATTCCTTGGATCTGAAAGTTAGGGTCTAAGGTATTACAGTCCTTCCACTCCAGCTGAAGTGGAGCATTTCTCTTAAGGCTCTTTCCACCAGAACAGCCAATTACTTACAAGCCAGTAAGTGTTTTACTGGAGGCCACAATAAGATATGCAAAGGACAAATGACAATCTAGAAACAATGCAGAGGATACCAAGTAAAGCACCTCTTAGTAACTCGGCTCTTTCCTATCAAAGCCTATAGAAAGGTTTATCTTGTGCTGTCTACACCTATATCAGATACTGCCCTTAAAACCAGCAATCTATGACAATGGGCTATTAGGGACTCCAATAAGCTTCCCTGGAATATCAGGTGAGCTGTCAACTTGCCACAGAAAAAGAATAAACACTACCTGTGCTGCTTCCATTACCAAATAGTGAGAAAAGGTCTACTAGAAGCAATCTGAAAAGCCAGTTTTATCATCTGATAAATCCCTCCAATCTACAGAAAAACCTTCCTTTTACATTGTTAAGCCACCAGGTCCCAATTACCATTCACACTGGAAAAGATGGCAAAAGTCCTCCCTGCTTTGCTACAAACTGGATGTGCTGGGCAGACATTTCCAGATGGCACCAAGAGTCACAATCTCCAAAGGTACGTTTGTGTCCGTGTACTGCTGTCTCCCAGCCACTGCATAAATCACTGCATAAATCACTGCATAAATCCTTGACTAAATCTGGAGACAAAGTGCAAAATAAAATACTGGTTGTTCCTCTGTCAGAAGATGGCTGCATCATACCCAGAGCATTCATGACAGAGATACCTCTTAGGATATAAAACACAGTTTGGGTACAATGGCCTTGCTCCAGAAACTCAGCTATTGGTTACTAAAGTCAATGTGACAGCTTGGGTTGAAGTTTTTTTCTGCTTCCACAGAAAGAGACCAGTTAGTCCCAACAAGCAATAACATTGGTTTTTAAAGGGATATAGTAAAATGAACAGGCTATAACATACTAAGATAACTGTTGCTCTTGTGGCACATAATGACACATCCACTTTTAAGCGATGATAAACCAGATCTGTTTTTTGTCTGGTTTGACTAATGGCTGAGCTTCCTTCCACTCCCACGGATTCTCTTATCTCCACAGCTTCACAGCGGTTGCTATCTGCTAGTAAGTGACATCATTTTTCTTATTTCCTGCTCATCAGCAAAAGGTGCCTGTCTGAGTCTATCAGGCAACAGCCTCTACTCCAGGCTGTGCATCTTCCACTGCACCACAGATCCCAGCCAATTACAGGCACTTTGGGTTTGATCACACCAGGATCAAAGTGAGAACAGAGATGTTGCTAAGCACAGGGGTCCTTCAAAGGCTGCAGAGGACTGCAACTTGCACCATCCCACAGATGTGGCAGATGTGTATGGGGTAGCAGCGCACATCGTGCATTCTGAACATGTTCTTCAGCTGTGCTTTTGCAGCCTGGGAGCTCAATACATTCATTCTGGTAGCAGACTGCTGCTGGAGTCCTCTGTTAGCTCCGGTGCTACAGGTAACCTGAGAATAAGTCCTTCGGATTATCACTGCATTCAAGAGAGGACTCACAGCAGCCTGCTTATTAACCTTTCCTTGTGGCTCAAAGCAGAAGAAAGCTAGGCGAGTAGTAAGACAGCAAGAAAAGGAGGGGAAAAAAAAGGAACAGAACGGCATTCTTGCTGTCCATTCTTAGTAGCATCATAGCTTTTTTCCTTTGCAGGTTCTTTCTCTCCCTTCCTGATAAAGATGGGCAAAATGGGCAAAAGGTCACATTAGTGACCTAGGTCACTAATGGTAAAATGGTATTGGACTTAGGGTAGAGGGTGCAGGATTGTAGTGTCACTCAACTAAATTAATAAGGGCTGAATCCAAAACCATCACAGACGCCACAATGCCAAGCATTAAAGTAACCAGCCCTGAGGTTAAACTCCAGAGGTTAAACTCCAGAAACCCTGAATTATGGAACAATGGTCCCCGTGGAAGGTACGCAAGGCATGAAGCACTTCAAGATGGCACTCAACCACCCACCCTGCTGAGTGGAAGAACTGAATTAAGAGGAAAATGCTGAATAAAAGATGACAAATTAAAAAAAAAATTACAATGGCTATGCTTCAGTGCTCCATTAGGCCATTGTTCCACAATCCAGTACGAAACAGACTATGCCAGCATTTCTTCAAAGGCAGGACAAATGCCCTCCTGAGTTCTATTGCCAGGGATGAAGCATATGCAATGGTGTCACACCTCATCCTACCCACTGTTGAATATCCATTTTGAACAAGAGCACAGGGGAGGCTGATCAACCTTTCTCTGCAACTGACAAGGATTTGAACCTGACACCTCCCATTCCTGAGAGCACACCCTAACCACGGTGCTCACTCTACACTCCCATCCTATTCACCAGTCAGAGAAAGGGAGAGGGCAACACTACTTGTGACTTCCAACAAGTAAGGTGAGTGAAAAAAGATTCTTCTAAGTTGTAGTCACTGCTCCAAGAAATTCTCACACATCTTACACAAAGCATTCTCAGGGTAACAAGCACCAGCAATCTCTCCAGATGAGGACAAGAGCACAGGATTCCCCTCTTTTTTCCTCTACCCTGCCCATGTACCAACCATTATGTTGGACCTTACCCTTGCTCTTGTTTTCCTTCCTCTGGCTCAAAGCATCACAAAGTACATCTCCTGTCTGCATGCACACACAAATTCTTCCTTCTCCACTTATCTTTATAAGAAGCCTTAACAGTAGCTGAACGCAGCGTTAGTTTCTGTGGGCACTTTCTGAAAAAGAATATTGTGTGCCTACCATATCAAGCTCTTCACAATGGGCAAAAGGACATTAGTTGGTTAATTGTGATCAAACTAAAACAGGACCTGCTCAAGATTCAGACTGCTAAGAATGCAAAGAAATATTGAACATTAGGAACAGTTTCCTAGGTAGAGAGGAAAGATGCCCTTCTGAAACAAGCAAATGCTCCGCATTTTTCTATTTCCTCTGTGTTGCTATTCTGGACATGGCTTTTTAATCCAACTCTAATATCTCTGCATCCACTTCACTCAGAGCCAGGAGGACTGTGAAGTTCTGCTTCTTTTTCAAAGGGCATTTTTAAGGTATACAGAAGTTAAGGTGATGAAGCCATAAATACATGTGATGGTCAGTGCAATCATAAAAAGTATTTGCTTTATAAATGTATAGCTTACTATAGAAGGGAACTTATTCTTCAAACAAGCACCCAATCATAGACACTATTTTTCCAAACTGATCTGGTTCTTGCTTCCATGAAGGACACCAAATGACATCTCTCTCCCTTTCTATGGGCCAGCTCCTTGTTTTGTTTTCCTTCCTCCCCTTAAATAACATACTAGTTTAAATACAAACCCAGGCAATTCAGAACTACCACAGGAACTGCAGGAATTACCTATGATAGTCTACGCCCTGTGCTACATAAGTCAGAGAAGATGGCCATAACAGGCTGTGCTTAAATCACGAGTTCATGGATTACCAGTGCATGACACAGACTATGATTAGACAAAAGAATTCTCAATAGAATAAATTATCCTTAAGCCTTTCTTCTAGGCATTTAAAGTACAACCCAGCAAAGCACAACACAAGAAAAGAAAGCCTTTTGTAGGCAACCCACTGAGAAGTCACTGTTTTGATTTCTACAGAAATAGAAAATTTTGTAGGCAGCTCTTAAAAAAAATAATACAACTATACAAAAATAAACAAAGAATCTTTTTAACCTATTCCAAGCTAAAGTGGATATAATATCCACCCACAGATGGGCTGTTAACTTCACAAACCATTTTTATATTTAGCAAGCCTCAATAAATCATATCTGAAAGCTATGGGTAGCTTTTTGTTCAGAAAACTTACCTATTATAATGACAAATGCAAAACTAGCCAGTGTCAGTGATGATCCACTGTTGATCATGTTGATGAGCAGTTTGAACAAAGGATATAGCAGCAATAAGGCCCAGAAAAGCCAGTTCAAAAGTGTCCATGGTCGATGGGGTGGTACTATAGGGACTGCTGGGTAGGTTCCTGTTCTGTAATATTCTTCCTGGAATGCATCCTAGTAGAACAAAGGAGAGCAACAATTAAATCCCCATCTGCCAACAAAACTAGCCATTTCTGACTCTGATGTTCCACCTGCTGCAGGCTTGTAACCACAGGAGAAGATCAAAGACCAAGTGATGGCTGGAAAGCTTGTACTTTGAAGTCAATGAACACAGAGTCAAAAAAAAAAAGAAAAAGAAACAGGGGAAAAAAAAAGGAAAGAGCATACTTTCTTTCTCCTGCACATAGCAGCCTGAAAAATGGCATACCTGAAGAGTATAACAAGCCCAGTAAAACAAGATGGGTGATGGGATGTACACTCCTGCAGCAATGTTGAATCTCCTGCAAGAGCCACAGCCACTGCCCAAATACTGCTGGTAAGCCAGAGAAGTGTCTGGGCTACATGCTCAGCAGCAGATCCTCTGTTCTCTAATGTTTTCTCCAACCACTGCACTGCTCTAAAACAGCACCCACAAACCAGTCAGAAAAGGTGACCAGACATCATCTTGTCCCATACTCTGAAGAACACCACCCTCTTCTGCCTGCTTTGTCCCTCAGTCTTGTTCACCTCATTCCCATGAAGCCTGTGGAAAGAAGTTTGGGTGCTGAACCTCTCTAAACAGTTTACAATCTCTCACTGGTTTTGACCAAAGGACTCTCCCTTTTTGTATAATATCAGGAAGATAATAGGGTGGGGGCTGTTTTTCTTCTGTTCTGTAGTGTGTGTTTTTTAAAGCACAGAAGACTTAGAATTGAGTACCTTCCTCTAGAGCCCACAGGGGTGAACAGCATTGCCGTTAGTGATCTGATCAACCAAAGATATCAAAAGGGGGTGGGGTAAAAAATCCCTTCCTACTTGTTCAAAAGCAAAGATTATTAATCTGTGTTATCACATAAAACTGGTTAATTAATGAAGTCAGCATTAGACTGACATAAAAAGGAACCTTAGTTTAGCCAGAGTGAAGTCCTATACTTCTTCAAAGAAAGGATTTTTGGTTTCCAAAAATTCCAGCAAAGCCAAGATTGTCTTAATCAACACAAGAAGTTTATTTCCACTGTGCTACGATTTTACACATACTTACACTCCAGCTGACATAAATAATTCTTTATTTATTTAAGAGCAACTTCAGCAATTACAAGTTGCTACCATTTTATCTATTTCAAAGGGAGCATTCAGCTTTTAAGAGATTACACAGTAATTAAATACTGCACTCTCTTTACTAAGGTTAGAAAAATTATGACTGTTTTACTCATGCAAGCTAGATTATACTGGGATCACTATAGCCAATTAATTAGTCATCTTCACCAGATCACACAGTGTATGAAATTTTCTTTACAAAGCCTTGAGGACTTTGGTTTATAACTGCTTTAACAACACAGAGCTACTAATCATCAATAAATTGAATTCTACTATATACAATTAGGTTCCCAAATACCAGTTATTACCCAGGAAACTGAAGAATTCCTATTATTGGTATTGCCATTAGAGGGCCTGTTTCTACAGAGAGCAGGACAGGCTTGCTTAAAACAAATGCAGCAGTGTTTCCCTTCTTGGCTCTGCACAGCATTAAGGGCAGCAAAATCACTGACCACATCGGAGAGAGGTTTGAGACAGATGGAAAACATATACAACAGGCAAAACAATGTGAAAACCAACACCTCCACTATGCATTTCACACCTTTGTGAGGGAACAGCTCTTCAGTTAAGATTCCTTATGCTCAAATATATTCACTTTCCTTGCAAAAGACATCTGTGGGTTAATCTGTCTTCTAAGCTTTTGCAAGAGTGCCTATGGTACTCATCAACATCTCAAGTCAGCCTTTAAACACATAACATAGCTCAAAATTTCCCGAAATCACTTCACCTACAGTAAGCTCCTTTCATTTCCCTGCATACAGACTTTGTTTCCAGTTTGTAATCAATCCCATCCGCTCAAGTATCATTTTCAGATACGGAAACATGCTCCCTCTGTTGGCCCCACCAAATTTAAGTTACTTCAGACAATGTGGGGGTAATGCAGGCAACATCCATCAGGGAACATCCATGAGAGGCTAACTGGATTCTTCCTCCCAGGAGGTCTGACGACAGAGGTATGCCGCTGCCTTTTCATGAAGAAGCTCACAAAGAATGAGTATCCAAAAATATAGTCTTTGTTCCCAAACACTGGAGTTCTGTATACTTGCCCTCTTCAGTTATGCTTTGCTAATTCCCTAGGGCATTCCAGCATATATTTTCATACTCTGTTTTCCATGCTTCTCCTACAAGTGAGAAAACTTAGAAGCTTGCTTTCTTTTTAATGGAAATTAAGATTCTCAAGCAGAACTTCTATTTCAGGCACCGAGGCTGTAAGGAGGTAAAAAAAGAAAAACAACGTGCAAGGGCTAGCTGAGTTGTGACTATTACAGAGTATCTCTTCAGACCAGGCAATAAGATCCTCAACTCAGTCCTTGTTAAAGTCAAAGGCAGCCTCTCTAGCAATGGGAGTTTAAAGAAATAAAATAAATAAAAGAAAAAGGCAATGTGCAACACAAATTGCACCACCTCTGTCATAATTTGGCGTTAACTGATGCAGTGTTAGCCATACGTGGAAGGACAAAATCCACCTCAGGAGAGGAAGAAGCACATAAATACGGTGCTTACTGTAAGCCTGGAAAAGGAAGGAGAACAGTATTTCGTTTAGAAGAGCACAGTGTCATTGTTTATCTGGCAAGACTCTGCTCACTGCATTTGCAGCAGTTGCTAAACCAAAAAATGAAGTACTAAGTAGCAAGAACATAAACATGCCAGATTCCCAGAGAGAAGTATCTCTGATAGAGGTACATGTAAGTGAAATCAGGCAATGACATAAAAAACAACACAACAAGCTTTTCTCAAAGATCTTCACTCCTTTACTAATGACAATTTAATTTAAAAGAAAACAAAGTGGTAACCCTCCACGTCCACTAATTACTGATTTATTACCCATTCCAACTGCTCTGCAGCCCTGATCATCATGAGTGCACAGGCCTTGACCTCAGTACCTGTGGCACTCCCCAGTCACTAAATCATGCTACTACAGCATAATTCAGCACACTGTATGTAAGCCTTGAGAAAGTACTGCAAACTTATTAAACTCACTGAGAATAAGCAAAGGCACATGTAACCATAATGCATGATAAAATAGGGACTCTGCTTTCCAGTTGCGTGCACACCTTGTCTTGCTTTGAAACAGGAAATGAAGTTCTGCAACCAAAATAGACAAAGAAGGGGATGAGTGTGTATCTTACAATGAATTACTGCCCTTTGAATACAGATTTGTTACATTTTATCATAAACATTTACTGACTCTGAAGACAATCTGAAACAGAATTCATTTTTAGAAACAGCACCTGGGCGGCTGCTTGTTATCTGACCTAAAAGCCAATTATCTTTTTTTAAATGCAGGGCAGAAAGATGAAACAAAACTGCATTTTTACCCTGCGGGGGGGCTTTCATCATCTCAAAACTCTTTGAGAAGTTGACCCTGCTCTACATTCTGCCAGACTGATTTTACAAAGACATAGGCTTCAGTAAACCAGGAATGACTGCAATGAAATAACAGTTTCGCTAATGTAAAACAGCTGGAGAAACAGAGACATGTCACCCTCAGAAAAAAATTAAAACCATCCCCAAACAAAAACCCACCTCTAATGAATCAAAAAAAATGCTATGTAACCAAAAAGGTTTTAGTGGAAAGGAAAACTAAACACACATTCCTTCCCTCCTTCCCTCCTTATTCTTAACAGGAAACTATAGATTTAACCAACCAGCAAAGTTGCCATGAAGAACAGATATGAAGGATATTATGTTATACCATATCTTATAATAGTATATAGGATAGACGTACATTCTGTTTGCATAAGAAGTAACTGAGTGTTCACCAAAGACTGAATAACAGAACGAACCTGAAGTGAATTACTGCAAACTAAGTAATAAGGGATTCAGAAAAACAATTACCATAATCTCACTGATGTTCTTGTCTTACAAATGTCTAAATGGTTCTCAGGAACATGAAAAATGGCTACAAATTCATAGCAGCAGAAAGTGGACTTCTGCAATTTTCAGCGAAAGGACCATTTGCACATATACGCCTCTAGAACGAGTACGAGCCTGTGGGTAACATCCTGCCTTTCTGCAAAGGTGCTGGGGGTTGTGTCTGAATCAGGTGTTATTGGCACAAATTACAAGAAGGGGGATCAGAGGCAAAGGTAGTAGATCTACAAGTGAGGTCTCAAGACATATTTACTTTTCTCATTCCTGTAAGCAAGCTGCTTAGAGGGGCTATGAATTGAAACAGAAACAGTCATGGCATGAACCTGAGAAAGACTAGGACATAATCAATACAGAAATGCTAAGGTGGTGTCCTGGGTAGAGCATGACAAATGGCACAGCAGAATTTTGCTGTCCCAGTGAGAGGAAACCAGAGCTATATTCTATCACTTCTAAATCCAAAGCACTGCTGCATTTCAGTCTGAATACATAACTTTGATCAATTTATTGAAGGAAACTGAGCTGCCAGGCCCCCATGCCACGCATACCTATGACTCCCACTGACTGAAACGGGAGTGCTGAGTGTATTCAAAAAGCACATCCCCCAACCCTTATCTCCTATATTCATAAAAACAAAGACCAGAAGAAACAGATTCTGAAAGACTGAGGGATGCATATGAAAGCATTTGGAAATAAGAAAAAAACTCCACCAGGCATCTACAAACACAAAGTCATTATTATTCTCTCCTCATCCAATGTAATGAGGAATTTTAAACACATGCCTTCTATAGACACAATGTGAAAGCAATTTATCAGCCTGTCCTATTAATATTGGATGTTTGCCTTGGTAAAAAAGACAGGGTAAAACAAGGGACAAAAATTCTAATACACTAAAAATATCTCATTTAGCACACAAATTACGTCTTGATTAAGAAGGTACCTTTAAGGGGAAGGAAGACAAGACAGAAGATAATTTTGATTTTTGTATTCTTATGCAACTTTCTAGAGAAGAGTTTTAAAACTCCTCTATAAAGGCTTGTTTAAGCTTTCTTCCTGTTGCTCTTTATAAAGCCAGTCATGACTGGTAGCACAAGATCAGTTTGTATGTGCAGAAACACCCACTCTAAGCCTTCAAAGTAGGACCACTACACATGGACACTGTAAAGGTCTACTAGTAGTATAAATAACAGAGTACTAGGGTTCACAATTGTTGCCTAGACAAAAAAACTAACCTTTTCTTGATATAGTTTGTGGAGCCAGGTAGAACATTCCTGCTCATCTTCTGGGACTTCCTCTAGTGGAATCCGCCTGCCAAAGGTAAACAAGAAAAATTCAAAAATATTAAATACTTTGGCTCCCATGAACAGCACTTGCATTATACAGACAGATTATCCATCTGACAGGAGACTTGCTACATTTTTCTCCTTTTTTTTAACTTGTGGTAACAACTCCAAGATCAGCAAAGTATAGTTTGCTTCTAGAGCCACCTTCAGTTCTTAGATATATGTGGAATTTAGAAATTTAGATTTCTGAAATAGTAATGCATTATGTTTGAGCTCACTAGAGTAACTTTCTAGATAAAGGTTTAAAATTATCTGTTTCCAAACAAAGGTTTTGAATTAATGAATTTTTTAACCTACCTATGAAGTTAAAGGCTGTACTTAATCAGCTAGGCAATAGAGAGAAAAAACAAACTATTCTTCTTATACTTATGGTAAAGTTCTCTAGTGTTTCTCCATCAACATTTCCAATTCTTGTAATTTTTGTTATGTGAAGCTTGGTTGGATAATGTCCAGCAAAATGGCTCCTATTACTGAAAAATTCTCTCTTGACAAACCAAAGTTTTCATCTCATCATATGAATTTTTGGTCAATAACCCTGTGACAGAAAAAATCTCTTACCAATCTCATTTAAGTACACTAATGGTAATATTTAATAATTTTACATTTTCAATGTAGGATATATTTTAATTAATATCCATTAAGAGCAGCATCAAATTAACTTCCTTCAGCACAAGAGAATAACTTCTCAGTGTTGGGACACTCCTGTTTGCAGTTAATAAATTAACAGGTGTGACACTACTGATTTGTTCCTTTAGTTAAAAAAGTCTTAAGGTGACAAACATTGCAAACCAACACAATTTAACATGGCCATCCAAATTTTGCAAAATTCCATTTAGTGCAACACCTATGGCACTTCAATAAGCAAATATGGAGGATTTTGAAGAACATCTGTGATAGTCCCCAGCTAATTGCCAAAAGAAATTTAACCATGAGGCTTACTCTGCCTGTAAGAGCTTTTCAAGAAGCTCAAAAGGACAGAAGGGTAAATAGCTACCCTGAGTTGTGAAAAGCAATTTCCATAGTCTGCCAAACTGACTTGCAGCAGGTTGGAATGGTGTAAATGGAGGTACAGGAAGAGGAGACGCCCCTGTGCTCCACTGGAGAAATGGCCCACACAGGTAGGGCCAGCTGCTCCTCCATGAACACTAGCCAGCCAAGCTGTGTACACCAAACACAAGGACAACTAGGCTAAGCTACCAAGTGGGAGGAGGAATCAAGAGAAAGTTTCTTTTTACCCTTGAGCAAAAACAGTTCTGAAGAAATATTTTTTCAAACAGGCAGAAAAGGGGAGATAAAAAGAAAAGGTCACCCATTTGATGTTGGTATCCAAGATAAACCAATTGGACCAGCCCACTATAGCTCTAAAGGGGTTATGATGAACTCCTGATCACTTGTGGTGTTACTTTTAGGCTCCTATGCTCCAACCCTAAACTATCTCATGTCCTGAGTGCCTGTAGTATGGGTGCTGCTGGTAGAACCTCACTTGGGAATTGGCTCATTCCCATTAAGATTATGGAAATCCATTGCGGTATTCATCACTTATAGAAACATTAATGAAAAGGAATCCAAGTAATGTTTTTTTCATTAAAGCAGCAGGCAAATACATCAACTATACCAACAGAGAGAGGAACAGTCCTCAGCCTGGCCTCCACCACAGTTGGAACTCCTGTGCCAGAGACAGGTATAAAGCAACTCCATCTGAACACTTAGATGATGTTCTGGCCAAGGGAGTGAAAAGAGGCCCTTCTGCTGCTCCTGAGCCAAGAGACAGACAAATGAATAAAAAAATAACAAACAAAAAGTAGTGTAGACACTTATGGGTTCCCCACATATTTACAGTCACAGAACTTTACAAGAAACCTTTCCCATCCAATAGGAGTTTTTATCTGAAGCTCTGTGAAGCCAGGTTGGTAGAGATTTGCTTTTCATCACCTACTTGAAAACATTCCCTTATTCGTCCAATTGCGACTGCAAGTACACACTCCTGTATGCTAAAAAGGAATTAAACTATGGATTACTTGCCTTACATACAAATCTGCATGATATTTTTTTCCATTTAGAACTCCCAGCAATGTTGGATTTTCATTATTTCTAAAATTGAGAGTAGAATCGTAGACTGCAGAAACTACAAAAAGAGAAACAGTTATGTGATTACCATAGTAATACAATGGAAATAAGCCATTATCTCTCAGACAAGGAGAATATTTAAATAGCACCACAGTTTGAGCTGTCACCAAGGTAAAAATAACAATGGAACACTTGACATGCAGGATTTAAGAAGGCAAATAACCAGTGACCCTTTCAGAAACTGCACTAGCAGAATGAAAAGGTCTGCTCTACACCCTTGCCTCCTTCCCCATCAGGTGCAGAATGACAGGCATACAATTACAGTTTCTGACAGACTGTACCTAGGACTTCCTAGGAGTCAATGGTTGAAAAACTGTTGTCTGTCTTGACTCACTGTGAATGATTCAACTACCCCCCTAAATAAGGGGGGAAGCAACCACGCAGATAAACACTTTATAAACAATGAACAATATATACCCTTTGACTAAGAATAGGTAAAGTGTGTGTGTGGGGGGGAGACATCCTACAGCAGAAGGGCTTAATGTAACTATAAATTGCTGGGGTAAAAACCAACCCCCCTTTCATGTCCCTTATTTGATAACTTAGAGAGTTGCTATAGGGCAAAGGCAGACACAGAATGGCAGATCACATCTTGTGTGAGCTGGGCTGCTGCTATGAAGACATGCAAATGTGACGCATATAACATACAAGTTCCACTGAACAAAACTGCAGCCAAAGTTTCAGTGCTAAGAAAATTGTTTCTGCAGTTCAGGACTGAGCAGTTACAGCAAAAGCATTTGCAAAGGCCAATCGCAGTTAAACCAGACAGCATTAACAAGCAGTTTCCAAAGAAAAAACATTCACTGTTAAACCACATACAGTGTTTCAAAAAAGTCTGTCTGAACATATGCTTATTTTCCTGATGTCACAAAATTACCAGAGAACAATTCATTTTCCTGACATTGAAATATGTTGTGCATCATGGTATGAGTTCTAAGATCAATGACAGCAAAAAAACTTATCTTTTTTTGTCATGTGACTAACAAGCATTTCACCTGTAGCTTGCTGTATTTTAAGTTTCCTGCTCCAGAGTTTTGCAATAATGAATAAAAACGCATGTCATGAACCTTTATTGTGAGAGCTCTTGACCCGTCTAAGAAAGACTTTTATTACATAGCACAGATTCGCTCTTGGTTTTGAAACCTCTCTAGTTATAGAGAGGTAAATTTGGCTTGATCACAGCATTCAGCTCCCAGAAACTCACCACATCATTTGTCACTCCAAAACAGAATGCAAAGCACAGAACAGCTTCAGCACTGAAAGGAAATCCTGAACACAAAGGCCAAACCCCTGCCACTGCTACAGACTGTCCCTCGCACTAACAACTCCATTCTTTTCCTACTACAGTTAGATTCTTAGCCCACACTCAAAACTGCAACACATAAGCTAAAATCTACTTCTAGCAGACTACTCTCCCTGTACAAGTTAGAAATTACTTTTTTTTTTAAAAAGTATCTGCCTCCATTTTTAAGCTTCTTAGCATAGAAGGATTTTACTAATCTACTCTAATTTACTAATCCAATGTAATTGAATGAAAACAAGAGCTCAGTTTGGTTTATTCAGGGTAAGCTTCTTAGTTTATTCTTTAATAGCATTATTCTAACGACAATAGGGATGCAATAAAGCAAAGTATGATATACAGAACACTTGTTCTTTCATTTTTTTACAAGATATCTCCCTTTGATTTTTTATATGAATTGGCTTTTGTTCAGACAAATTGGAAGATGGTTCTCCTGTTCTGAAAAAAGCTTCTGCAGAGTGGGCCAGGAACATCTTTATAGCTGACAGCCTTACAGAATCTTCCTTTTCTCCAGGGAAAAAAAAGAAATCCTATTCCAGTTTGCAACCGGTCTATAGTTTTATATTCAGTCCAGTCCCTTTTAATAACACATTGAAATCTTCTGGTGCAAAGCAGTGTCAAACCCAAGACAATGACAGCATGTGCAGGAGTAAAGAGACCTCTGTTATATCCAGATATAACTGAAGATAACTAAAGACTTCAGCTTTTTCATTCTGAAAGTGTAGAAAAAGAACAACAATAGAAGTGTCAAAGAAAACGACTGCATGAATTTAAAATTTGCCAGAAAGCTTCCACAGCTAAAGCAGCACTAGCATGCTGTGCGAACTGGTTATTGTTAAACGTGGATTTTGTAATTATATAATTAGAACTAGACCTCTCATGACTTTCTCATCCAAAAGCTGAGGAGTCCAGAAATTTCACTTTCTAAAACAAGTAAAAAAATAACTCCATACTATCTTGAAAACATTGCAACAACTGCCTCACTCTTGGGCTAATACAGAAGTTTTGCTTCATTTGTGAAATATTTTCTATGAAGAAATTATATCTTAAAACCTCTTTTTCATTAAAAATCAAACACAAGTCTTTGAAAGCCGTTTCAAAGGCTCAGAATAGATCATAACTAAAACAAAAATTTTTCCAGCTGAATTGCTATTTCCTGTTAAAAAAGTCTAGGGTTTTTTTTGTTTGCTTTCTAATCTCTGCACAGCTTTTTTTCCCATCTTTAACTTTGTTCTCTGTACAGCATTCTGATAGAGAGCTATGTACTTAAAAAGTAAATAAAAAAGATTTAATTTCTTAACTTCAACCTAAAAGAAAAATAAATCTTCAGATTACGCATCTAGAGAGGATTCTTCTTATTTAACTGTCCTCTTGAATTTCACGCATTATTTTGTGGTCATGGAGGATCATGCCAGAATCATGGTGGATCATCTAACAAATCAACCTACAGGAAATGAGTAGACCTACATGCACCTTCATACTAGCACACAATGATCCGAAGATTGCAAAACGGAGGGGAAGGTACAGTGGAATTCACTGTATTTTTGGTATGTTACCACCTTGACACAATCCTTTGATTTGCCATTTCATTGCTCTGGTCAGCTTGGTCAAAAATCACTCATCCTCTCAAACTTGGTAACTTTCTCTGGATGATGACTAGAAGCCCATTTGAAAACAAATAATAATCCAGGACTAAACTGCAACTCAAGGGAAGAAAAAAGTCATTGCAAGACTCAAACACTGTCATACTGATCTCCATGAGAACACCACTCTGGAATTTATTCTCATGCATTTCCTCTAGGACAGTAGTTCCCAGTGTGCACAACTGGAGGAAAAGGTGCACAACACAACTTGGGCTTATCTACAACCCATCTTGAGGCATATTTTTAAATACAAGTCTTCACTAAATAAAAACAGCTGAAAGGAATTGCCTGATATACAGCCAGGCAATAAAAGTAACAGTTAAATATATCTTTTGCAGTATTTATGACATTTATTTTTATGGTAAATCATGTATGAGTGTTTTAGAAACGGATCTGCATTTCCATTTGCTTCCATGAACAGTACAGGTAGCAAACAGCAATTTATTAAGACAGCAAATAGCTTCTAGAGATTAAGCTCCTGGTGACTGTGTCTCTACTACCATACTGGGAGAGACGGTCACCAAAAAAATTATCAGAAAAGTTCAAAAAATATTAAAAGCACTTCTTTAAGAATCAAGTGCAGAGGTCTGAACTTGTGAAAGTAAATCTCTGAGAAGAAAAGAATTCCATTATCACTTATGAAAGAAATGATTTAGGAGGGAAGGTCCTTTACTTGTTCTCTCACGTGAAAGATATTTTTATCCAAATATATCTGCTTATGCTGACAGAAATGGCATCACTAGTATGGAGGCAACTTCTCACCTAAGTACATTGAATAAACTCCTTCTGAAGGTAATTTTTTCAAAACAGGACTAGCCAGGCTCATGTCACCAACGTCTATTTCTGACTACTGCAGAAGTACTTCAGAACTACTTCCAGAATGACTGCACCATAGAGCATTAAGAGTTGATACAAAGTTTTGAAGAGGACCAACCTGTGATCACTGCTACTATGGGTGAATTACCTCTACAGATGGAAAGAACACCATCTATCCATGCTGTAGTACTACAGCCTCAAACAAGTGGAATCACACCTTTGTCAGAAAGAAGTGGAAAAAAACCAGATAGAAGCTCTGCCACACCCAGCTGTGAACTGGTCCAAAACCTGTGGCTTGATTTCACTGCTACATGGTGCTCCAGCTCCAGCCAGGGCCACCACCCCTTGTGGGAGATCTGAAAGTGCATTAGCCTAAATAGCAGGACTCAAATTGGATTCAGGGAGCTCAGCACCCGTCTCTCATTTTTCGAGATGCAGAGGAATACCCCACTGCAGATTTGACCTAACTTCTAGATAGAGCTTACATTTCTAGATTATGGACTGTCAAAACAGATTCCCATCACATTCTCTATTCAAAAAACATGCATGGACTTCCTTGTTATCTGTACATAAAAATGTTACAAGGAGTTCTAAAAATAAGACATTGTTTACAAAGGCTTTTCAAATGCTCGTCACATGTACCCCTTGTCTCTATAGGAGAGAAACATATAATAACCCAGACAATAACCCTGGTATCTCCCTTTCATTGCAAAAAGTGGCAAGGCAAGTAAAGCAACACATCCGGAAAAACATGCAACACTGATATGGGGTCATCAAACCCTCAGAGGTTTGTTGGTTGGGTTTTCAAGCTCGACAATTTTTGTTGAAACTGTATATGAGAAGCTATGGCTCTGTGCTTCTCCTTGAACCCTCACAGGGAAGTACTACCTTCTTAGTGGCCTTACATTGCCTCATCTAGCGAGTCACAGCTTCTGGAGTGAGGCAATGACACACACTCCGCTAAGTATATGAGTAATCTAGCAGTCTCGGCCTTATTGTTTTGAATGTATTTCAAATATTTAGGATCCTAGTAAATGTTACTGTAGTGTATCACATGAACACCAAAAAGTTTTTATAAATGTCACTTGCGTTCCCTACAATTGTTTCCTTTTGAAACATATTCCCACAAATCAGCTATTTGTCCACAATCATGCCTTATTTCACTTGTACTACACAGAGCAGTGAAAAGAACAAAATCACCACCAAAATAACCTGTCCCTGATTCCCACCTCAGGGCATTAGAGGTCGCAGGGTTTTGACTCATCTCTTCTTCAGTGCCTCAAGTCTACCACCTCCCTGCCCTCAGTCAAACAGCCACCCTTATTCAAAAGGCAAGGTTAAACTGTGCCCTTAAGGGGGTTACTGGATGCTTCACATAACTTACCTCTTCTTCATGTATCAGAAAAGATCCAAGCTATGCTATCCATTTTGGGGGTGGAAAGTTGTAGGTGCCTGGTAAGCTACAACAGTGATACGATCTACCTGACTCACAAGAGGATATGTAGAAGAAATATGACAGATAGCAAGACAGCTGACTGCAAAGTTTTTTTTACAGCAACTATCCCAGATATGCCACATGAAAATGTGTCTTCAAAGATAAAAGAAGTTTTGATATTAGCTTCAGTCAAGCTAGAACATTTTCTTCTAAACCCATAACCACTTTGTCTTTCTTATGCAACAGTCTTTTAACAATACATAACTCTACCAACCCCCAAAAATACCGTAACACTATGGCTACTTAGCACTGTCTTTCCTTTGCCCATGAAGTCCACAGCAGACGACTCTGATAGATAGTATTAGTCAAAAAAAAAAAATCACTTCAAAGGAATTGTGTGCAATATTCTTACTGATGTCATCTTAAAGGTGCCAAAACTGGGGGATAAGGAGCTAAGAACAACATTAACAAAGAAAAACTTACTTCATGTTCTGTAATGCAGAAATAATTTGTTTAAAAATTTTGGCTACATGTATCTTCAGTCAAGGTCTACTCCCCTTCCTCAGCTCCACAAAGAAACTCTAAAGAGCAAATCTATATAGGAACTTAAAGCAGAATATTTTTTTTAAAATTTAAAAATTATATCATTTGAGGCAGGTATTTACCACAAGGAAACATTGTAAGACACACTACCTCAGATTCTCTACTGATGCATTTGCTTCATTTAGAATAGAATAGTTTAGTAAATACTAAGAAATACTATCCTTTGACACCAGGCACAAAATATGCAATTTGAGATTTCCCAATACACAGTCACAGTAACAGAAAATGAAACAAATGTAATAATAATAAAAACCCCCAAGTTGCTCCAGGACTTTATTAGTAAAATCACAGGATAGTGCAAAAAAGGTCAGACAGGATCCCAGAGCTTTTCTGCTAGGACTCACGCTACAGGAAAAAGAAAAGCATGGCAAACTGACAGTAGCTGGATGAAATAACCATTTAGCATTTTTCCCTGTGACTTTCCTTACCTACATTTCTCAAACACTGCACGGTGACAGCAAATCCTTTTGTTCGTGGCAGTAGGTGATACTTGAGCTTGGGCAGACCTTTGGCTTCGGCTACCTGCATGCTAATCTGGTGCTTCTGTTCTGTGAACCTTGTGCCCTCGCAATGAATCAGGAACTAAAACCAAGAGAGAACTACAGTTAGACAGAAGCTCAGGTCTTCTACATCTGACTGAGCAGAGGTGTTTCTAATTCCCACCAGCACAGCCCAAGTTAAGACTGCTAGCAGGAACAGTTGCAGCCACATACACATTTAGGTAATTTATTTGACTGAAGTAAAAAATTCGAAACAAACACACAAACAAACAACAAAAAAGTCAAAACCAAACACTCATCCAACTTGCCATCCTCTGGTTTGAACTCCAGCTTTTAGACCTAATCATCTGCTCTGCTACTTGCTATCAGAATGACTTGATTTCTCTAAATGAGTCACTCAATCCCTACACTCAAAATATACTCCTGTTGCAAATGGTTCACTGATGGTGAAGTGTAGAGGTATCATGGTATCTAAATCTTGGTAAGTGTCTAAACTGAAGACATTTATAGGAAATGCTTCATCGCCCAGCTTGCACCCCCTGACTCCAACCCTCTGGCTTTCACTTATGGCACAAAGACACTGACAACTACACACAGCAACTCTGATGCCAGGGATAGAGCTGGTAACAGATGTAAGGCAGGAGATGCAGGACAACTGAAAGCCTCATGCACTTATGAACTATAGAGTGGAAGTGCTCAGACATGAACAATTACAGTCTTGCCACTGGCAGGCAGGGGAGAGCACACAGATCTTTGGAGATTTACCACTTGCTCATCTGCTTTCTGCCAAGCCTGAACGCAAACTAACACATCAGAGAGCACTGCCACATCACACAAGCTAAGTCCTCAGAACCCACAGCAAAATATAGCCAACAAAGACAGAGATTGAAGAAAACTAGCCAAGCAGACAGCTTTCAGCCCTAGCTCATCCAAGACCACTTCTGATGTATCACAAGCATAATGTTAAGCAGCTAGATGAAACATACAGAAACTGATGAGAAAATCTCTCTAGTCCACTTCCCATGCTTTGCCCGTCTACCTTCCAAGGTGCTATTGTTGTGCCTTTTGACATATGTCATCATACAAAGGCAAATTAAAATTCCACATGCAATAACCCCAGGTGTACAACAACAACTATCTCCTGTATGCAGGTATAGTTCCTTCTTAGTAATTAGTATCTATAGGACAGTGGTGGCTTGTGCTCACTGATTAGAGTTGAACTACCTAGGTGCATAGAAGGGCATTCAAATGCCTTTTACAAGTCACAGAGAACAGGCAAATCTCAGTGAGATAAACTGAAACTGAAAACCAAGAATGGCCCCTCTACTACACAGTCTTCTGCCTGGAAGTCATCTAAACATTATCGAAGCACAGCTTAGCACTTGTTTAAATCAATGACAATTAAAAAAAAAAGTCTGTTTCAGAGAATGAGAGATTCAGCACATACATATTCATGAAGAAACTGCTTCCTAAGCAATAGGTTCTGTAGGCTCTGGTGAGGCTGCTTAATATACCATTTCTTTAACCAAATTGCCCTCTTGCCATCACTAGCTCGTGAGAACTACAATTTTTCCGATTACTAAGAGAAAAAATTCAAAGGCTTTTCATTCTCAAACCAGGAAACACCAGGCAGGGTCAATACTAAAAAATGATAGCAATGCAAAAAGTAACACTTTCTTATTACTGAAAAGTGACACCAATCCTCTCCCTGTAACACAGCTGATGGCCTCAGTGGGCCATATCTCTGACCAGGTACTTATCTGTGGCTTCCACTTCTACTGCGCAATGTCTGACCAAGCACATTCACAGGAAAGGCAAAATCACATGGAAGGGGAAAACACTAGTAGGAACTCTGCAATCTAAGGCAAGAGGGGATCTTAGGTAAAGAATACGGCTGATGTGTTTCAACACAACATCGTCACATGCATCTGTTACACCGCCATGAATCCCCACATCTACCCCTATCCAGGCTCCTGTATTTAGAGGACCACAAGATTTACTGAATGGATCACAGTGCAGGTATTTTTGCAGTGACATCTGTAGGGCTCCATACTACAGAGAAAGAAAACAGACAAGACAGACTATTACATGGGAAATTCCAGAGAAAATTCAATTCTTCGAGAATACTCTCCTGATGCCGCCAGGAAGTTCACGAATCAAAGTTCTCAGGAGCAAGCTGGTGAATATCACATATCATCTGTGCCCTTCATTCCTGCCAAGCATTATAGCACATCACACCCCACTTGTTAGTCATCACCCACCCAAAAGTTTTCAGGGTAGTCCCGGAGACTCAGCAACTTCTGTATGACTGTTTTCCGATCTTCTTCCCACTTGCGCTTGCAGAAGACTATCTCTAGGAAATACCACATCCAGCCAATGATAGGCATGTAGGAGAGCTCCTTCTTCGCAAGCACTTTGGAACTCTGCAAGACAGAATCAAAGCAAGGAAAACAGAGTTAAACCACTTAAGAATTCACTGTGAGTATGATACACGCACAGTTAGACACTCATATATTGGTTCCTATTGACCAGTCCCAGTTTTAACACCAGCGTAAAAACAAAAACAAAGAAAAATAAGTTTTTCTCATATGACAGAACAGTCAAATCTAATATCAGATACCTGCATGGAAGACTTCCAGAATTAAACACGTATGTGTGTGTGTTTGTCTTTCCTACCCAAATGCTGAAACAAAACAGAAGCCAAATTCCTTCAAACACTGAGATTGATGCAAAAGACCCAAACCATATCAACAGAAATTCTTAATTCAAGCCAATCCTGGACAGTGGCAACTCAAGTTCCTTTACGAGCAGCTATACTTCTCCCCAGTGGTGGGACTTCTCACCATGATCAAAAAAAAAAAAAAGAAAAAAAAAAAGAAGCAGAGTCACAGAACCATTGCTGTACAACGTACTGATGTTTGCACACATGGTTTACCAATGGAAGAATAAGAATACTTGATTTGTGTTCAAGTTTGTTCATGAAAGGGCAGAAATACATACAGTAGTGAATTTCTCTTCAAAGCATGCTTCTGAAGCAGGGGGGAAAAAAAAAGCATTCTTCGTGTCTCACAGGTGAGACACCCACTGAAGGAATTGGTCCAGACCCTCCACAAGAAGTCTATGATTTATCAAGCATTCAACAAGTTCCAAAAGTCAAATCCTACTCCAGAATTTAACTCTGTGATCACCTCAGACTGACATCCCTTTGGGCAGGAAAACTGATTCCACTTGCTCCTTTTCTGTCTTCCAAGCCAGCCAACCTTGGTGAGCTGTCCCATGTTTCTCTTGGTTATTTAATTAACAAAATGGCACATATGTGTGTTGTGTGTATATAGAAATTGTTGCTTCAGTTTTTCCTGAAAAACAGTGACACTTTCTTATAGGGCAAATGGAATAATTACAGTCCAGTTTCTAACCACGATATCATTATAAGCTAGCCCATCAAAATGCTCTGCAGATGGATTCCAGGACATGGCATTTGACTAGAAGAAACTGTTTATTGGTAGAAGTTACCATCAAGAGAAAATATTTCTTTTTCTTTTTTTTTTGGTCACTGTTGTTCATTTGGTTTCTAGGGAAAGAGACTTGACCTAATTCTTTATCTCAGCTCATTTCTTTCATCTGTTCTCCTTCCTTCAGAAGGAAAACACCTTAAATAATTAAGCTATCTAAAAGCTCGTAAGACTGGAAGGCAAGTGCACATCACATTGCTTCACAAGCAACTGTTACACAGAAGCAGAATAGAAAACTGCAGACAATTCCATTTCTAAGCATGCAGGAACCATCTCTGTCAAATCATTTAATGCTCTATAATAAAGTGCTCCCTCTTGAGCATTTGAGACTTTCAGTATTTCAGTGACGGGCTCAGATCAGGACTCCAAACCCAGCTCTTCCACGAGGAGCAGTTGTAGTATTCAGCACAGTTTTAGTCATTTCAATTTCAAGCCATGTTTTACCTTAGTCCCTACTACAGGGCAGCAGCAACACTGAGCCCAGCCTCCTCTTCCAGCTCCCAAAACTGGGCACAGAGAAACAGGCTACTACCACTCTCCTTAGCTCTGTTTTTTTCCTACACTATTGCTTTTCCTTTTCTCAGTTACTCTTAATACAAGAAATTTTCTTACTTCCAAAATAAATGTAAATAGTTCTAGCACACAGCTTTAAAGGCCTCCAAAGAGTATTTTTGTTGTAGACCATGTACAGTATAGCTTCCATTCACAAGAACAAAAATCAATTCACAAGCTCTTGTGCTCCTCTCCACCGTACGTGTCAAGCCAAGGTTTTGCTCAAGAAACCCCAAGAGATGCTAAGTGTTCCTAGCTGAGCAGGGAGGGTTAAAACCTTTGGGAACTACTGTCTAACTCAGCCATAGCCTAGCACAAGCCACTGCACAATGAGGCCAACAGCGAGAAAAAAACCCAACATGCTCTTCAAGTTTATGTACAGTAAGTATTCAGTATCATGAGAACTACCATAAACTAACCTAGGTGTGTTTAATATAGAATGTGCAAGGCCTCCATAGCACAGAGTCAGAAAACCATCCAGTAGTCCTTCCTCCCAGATTTTAAAATGCAAGAATTCCAGTCCAAAAAGCTAACTAAAATAAGTATTTCACCATACCTATTTTCTAATGTTTTGCGTATTTTAAGAAGAGTACAAGTTACACAAGAGGCACACGAGAAGTTGCTACTGGTTTTTTTTTTCCCCCTCCCCCAGTGGATCCAAGAAACAATACTGTAAGCTAAGGTGTTATGGGTAGAGGTATAACCACAAAAGCAGAAGAGATGTCTGAATTCTTCCCCAGGGTAAGTTCTTATTCACTTACTGTGCCAATGCATTTTTAAAATTTAAAAGCGCTCTTCTAGACATGTGTGAGTATGACTCCTTAGATGCACATAAAAAGAAGCTAAGTTACCTCACACTGTTTTGTGCACCCATCTGGCCTAGGATTAGAAGGAAGACTAATGACAGAACTAATTAGAGAAAGGAAACTTCTCACTGCATTATACTAGCAAGACTGCTCTCGAGTGGGAGGAATACATTGGCCTCCCCTCAGGAGTTACCATCTCCTTCACAATAACTAGAGCTACAGTCTGTTCTGTTTCAGACATCTACCTGTGCACAGCTCCTGTGTAAATACTTGAGGGAAAAAATGCAACTCTGGTTGACTTCAGCTACTAACTTGTTCTTTACCAATGTGTTTTGGTAAAATACGTGACAGTTACCTCTAACCTTCAAATTCAGTTTGTTCAACAGAATAAAATTCATTAAAAAGTGCTGATTTATTCCATGTAAGGTGCCTTCTTGAAGGAAGTTAAGCATTTTCAGTGCTCAGAACTGCATAATTTCAACAGATATTTAATGAAATTACTGCTGGACAGGGACAACTTATATACAGTAATAAAATTTTAAACCAGGTTAATTTATTTTGGCCAAGTTTGTTCAAATGGAAATATGCATGAAGTTCCTTCCCCTTTGTGAATGACCGCACCAATATCACAAAAAAAAAGTATTCTTACAAGCTTATTTTAAAAGCATTTGTCCAGCTTGTTGTCAAAGAAAGAAAATCTTGATTCTGTATGTCCAGCCTCAGTTATTCAACACCTCTTGATCAAGAGCATAACAAACAGCAAGAAATAACTGTGCAAGCTGTGAGTGTCAAAAAATTTGTTCCACAGTTTCAAAACAAGTTTATTGTAGCTGCAAACCGTTAGCAGCAGCAATTTGCCTCATAAGTTATTTGCTCTCTAGGCTGCCCTCAGCATTGACATACTTTTGATGATTTCCACTGCTCTATTTTTGAAATATAGCACTCCTTCATATTATACTCCTAGGGCATCAAGATGGAAAGATATGTTTCTTTTGTCTCTCAAAGCCATCATTCCAGTAATTTAGTTAGGCTCCTAATTTCTAATGCTTCATATTGAATAAAATTTCCCCATGTTGGAAAGGTAACACAGCAATATTTTAGAAGACATATTCCCTAGCACATGCTAATGTGCTGTGTTAAATACAAGTAATAATGCACTTTTGGCTGCCTACAAGAACAATTACATATTTTAGAATAATAGAATTGTTTAGGTTGGAAAAGACCCTTAAAATTGTCAAGTCCAACCACTACCCCAGCACTGCCAAGTCCACCACTAACCCACATCCTGAACTGCCACATCTGAAAATCTTTGAAATACCTCCAGGGATGGGTACTCAACTACTTTTCTTGGACGGCCTGTTCCAATGCTTGATGGAACTCTGAACGAAGAAATTTTTCCTGATATCCTACCTAAATTTTCCCTGATACAACTTGAGGCTGTTTCCTCTTGTCCCACTTTATACCTGGGAAAAGAGACCAATCCTCACCTTGTTACATCCTCCTTTCAAGTAGTTGTAGAGAGCAATAAGGTCTTCCCTTGAGCCTCCGTTTCCCCAAGCTAAACAATCCCAGCTTCCTCAGCTGCTCCTCATAGGACTTGTGCTCCAGACCCTTCACCAGTTCTGTTGCTTTTCTTTGGACACACTCCAGCACCTCAATGTCCTTCCCGTAATGAGGGACCAAGACCTGGATACAGTACTGAGGTGCAGCCTCACCAGTGCTGAGTACAGGGTAACAATCACTTACTTGGTCCTGCTGGTCACACTACTTTTGACACAAGTCAGGATGCCACTGGCCTTCTTGGCCACCTGGGTACACTGCTGGCTCATGTTCTGCCACTGGCAACCAGCACCCTCAGGTCCTTTTCTGCAGGGCAGCTTTCCAGTCACTCTCCCCGCTGCCTGTAGTGCTGCCTGGGGTTGTTGTAACCCAAGGGCACCTGGTCTTGTTGAACCTTATACAATTGGCCTTGGCCCAGTGATCCAGCCTGTCTAGATCCCTCTGCAGAGCCTTCCTACCCTCCAGCAGATCAACATTCCCAGCCACCTTGGCACTGTCTGCAGAATGACTGAGGGTTTACTCGATCCCCTCATCCAGATCATTGATAAAGATATTAAGCAAGACTGGTGCCAAAACTGAGCCCTGGGGAACACCACTAGTGATCTGCTGCCAGCTGGATTTAATTCCATTCACTACCACTCTCTGAGTTCAGCCATCCAGCCAATTTTTTACCCAGCAAAGACTGCACCTGTCCACACCACGAGCAGTCGGTCCAGCGGGGCCTCTTCCCTAGCTGACTATCTCACCAGCTGCATCAGGAAGTTGTCTTCCACATACGCCAGGAACCTCCTAGACTGCTTCCTCTCTGCTGTGTTGTATTTCCAGCAGACATTTGGTAAGTTGAAGTCTCCCAGAAGAACAAGGGCTAGTAATTGTAAGACTTCTCCCAGCTGCTTATAGAACATTTCTTCTGCCTCCTCATCATGGGTTGGGTGGTCTGTAACAGACTCCCGACAGGATATCTGCCTAGAAACACTTGACCCTTTCATCACC